TAAAATAATTAAAATTACAACTGGTTAATAGATATCTATAATTATATTATACGATTTTATTTAGATATATTACTGTTATAAAATACATTGAGAAGCATATCAAAATGTGACACACAAAAGTCATTCGGTTTTAAAAGGTCAAACATGTACCATAACTTCAGGTAATGATAGTTGATAAACTTGATTCCAATCAGTTTTACACAAATTTATTTATCATCAAATATAACAGAATATTAAAACTCTTACATTGCCACTGACTGATGAACGGACGTACACAATTTCAACCTCTTGTGAAGATGTGTCTGTAGACCCGTCACTGATTACTGATATGAATGGACTTGCTTTTATTTTTGCATCCTGTCTAGTTCGAATTGTGTCCGCAATTGAAGATATAAACATCTGACAGCTTTTGTCTGTTAGATAAGTACTGCCAATGTCCAGCCCTTTTGCAATGTCCAACTTGCATAACTGAACGTAATCTGTGTATGGTCGTCCACACTTAGCAACAAAGTGAGCGTTCATGAATAAATGCCTTAACTTTGCATGTGCTGCAGAATTCAACAATTTTAAAGTTCTATGGCCTTCTGAGCTAGGAGTGTTATCTGCCATTCCTACACAACGTAAGTGGCCCTCTGACTTATCATGAATACGGACACTTTGCAATCTAAAGTTATTACAGCCATTAACAAATGTGCCGGTTGTATCAAATTTTTGGCAAACCTTGCAAAACATCAACTTTTTATCGTTATCAAATGTCAACCATGGAAATTCTTTCGACCAGGACGGTTGAAAATTACGATCCCTTTTGGTTTTGTCATATTCACGCTGTGCCTCAAGCTGTTGGTCTCGTGTTTTGGCCTTTTTTTTGGCCGGCTCTTGAACATTTTCAATGAAACGCCACATATTTTCGCTTAAGTTTACACTCGTAGGTAGCCGACGCTTGCAATTCCAAGCGCTTAAACTTTAAGATCATTAGCGACCCAACGGACATTTAATTACCAGAAAGATGAATTTCCGGTTTCGTTTTGAATTCGTACAATTTGTATCATAACAATTGTTATTTTATTATTATTTTAAATGAATTTAAATGTATCAGGTCACTAAAATTTCGAGTAGCCCGACGGGATACCCAACTTGGAAACTTAGGTAGTCCTTATGGAAAAAAGGTAGCCTCGGGCTAACGGACCATCGTTAGTGTCGAGCCCTGCTAGAACATTCTTATAATACATGGTAGTATGTTTAGTGACAAAAAATGTATTATTGTAAGAAAAAATATAATTTTTGTGATAGAATTTATGTTTTCGATGAGTATATATATATATATTTATATTTGTCCGAAATTCATTTTAGCTTTAATATTATGTTTCACTGAAGGTTAGAGTAACATATAATCTTTTTCATGTAAATAATTTTTGTAGAAAAAAATAATATCAGTCGCTTTGGAGATTTAGCATAAAACTCCCTTTGTGAGATTTAGTAAGCACCATATGAGCCGCGTCATGACAAAACTAACATAATGGCTTTGCGACCAGCATGGATCCAGACGAGCCTGCGCATCCACGCAGTCTGATCAGGATCCATGCTGTTTGCTTACAAACCCTAAATTACAAGTAGAGAAATTGATAGCGAACAGCATGGATCCTGATCAAACTGCGCGGATACGCAGGCTGGTCTGGATCCATGCTGGTCACAAACGCACTATGTTGGTTTTGTCGTGACGCGGCTCATATATATTTAATACTGATGATAGGGACGGATGTTACAGACAACTGTTACATAATTGCCGGAGAAAATGGCAATTTTTGTAACATTTTCATAGTTAGACTATCAATAAGCACCAGTTACATGGTAAATTTATTTATTGGATCATTTATTACATCTAATTTCCTTTGAACTTAAAATTGCTCTTCTTCAATTCTTCATAATATAATTTCATTCACTACAGTGATATTCTTTATACATTTGATTACCACTTAACATAAGAGCATTTACTTAAAGACCAAGTCAATTTTCACATCCTATGCAGTCCTGTTACTCATCCAAAACATAATACAGTAAACTTCACATATAGCGAACACGGTTATAGCGAACTTCCGGTTATAAGGAACAAAATATTTTGGCCCGAATTTTGCCCTTCTTTATTTAATGTAAAAAATTACGGTTACAGCGAACACGGTTATAAGGAATTATCGCTTATAAGGAACTAATTTTTTAGTCCCAATGCCATAAAAAGTACAGAAAATTTTACTTTTATAACGAACTCCAAAATATCGGCTATCCGTAAACAGATCACGCATTTTCTACTTTCGTTTTCATAGGCACATATTAAAACTTGGCCGAATGTAGCGGATATATTAGGAACAAATAATGACGATGACAGTCAATCTTCCGAAGACGAAATCAATTTAGATGATCTGCCGGTTGTGTCAAAAAATGAAACTATTGATTGTTTGCACAAGATAAGGCCATACTTCGAGTCTAATGCACATGTTGAAGAAACAGTTTTTAAAAGTTTATTGGATATTTAATTTAACCTGAAGAGTTGTAAACATTCCCAAACTAAAATTACCGACTTCTTCAAAGCAAAGTGATTATTTTTGTGCATGATACTGTATCGTTAATAAATAACAATATTGCATATATGGTACATATCATATAATTATCTTATAGATATATTTATACATAAAAATTATTAAAAGAAACAACATTGCAATTATTCCCTTTTTTCTTTATTGAATCAATATAAGGGAGTAAACAATGACGAACCCAAGAGTTATTTCTCTTAATCAAATGCTCTTCTAAATGGAGGACGACGGTAAACAATTAGTTCGTTATATGTAAAACTGTTCTCTATAAAAACTTCTGTTACAAGGAACTAATTCGCTATATGCTTACAAGGAACTCCGGATATAAGGAACATATTTTGAATGTCCCAATGAGTTCGTTATAAGCGGAGTTTACTGTAATCAACACCAAAATACATAAAAAAAAGAAAGATCACTAAACAAAATTAAATAGAATTATTACACTCTAATTATTATTAATTTAAGGTCTTTTGTGCCTCCCTAGCATTCCTTTGTGCCCCTTAGCAGTCCTAAGTGGTCCAGCAACTCATCGAAAACATAAATTCTATCACCAAAATTATATTTTTGTGCCCCCATGTTAGTGGCGGGCATTTAGATTTACCCTTGTCCGTCTGTCCGTTCACTTTTGTGTCGCACGTAACTAAAAAAGTATTTGACCTAGAGTCATGAAACTTTACAGGAATGTTGATCAGCATGTGTAGTTGTGCACCTGGGTATTTTGGTCTGGATATTTTTAGTGTTTTCAGAGTTATTGCCCTTGACTTAGTAAAATTTTGCAATTTTCAACTTGTGTCGCATGTAACTCAAAAAGTATTTGACCTACAGTCATGAAACTTTACAGGAATGTTGATCAGCATGTGAAGTTGTGCACCAGGTATTTTTGTCTGGATTTATTTAGTATTTTTAGAGTTATTGCCCTTCACTTAGCAAATTTTTGCAATTTTCAACTTGTGTCGCAAGTTTCTCAAAAAGGATTTGACATAGTCAATAAACCTTATGGGCAGGTTGCTCAGCATATTTTAGATTTGCACCTGGGGTTTCGCTTGTGGATTTATCCAGTATTTGTAGACTTATTTCCCTTGACTTAGTAAAAAGATTGACAGAACAGTGTCGCAGTGGGGGCACCCGTGTCCTATGGACACATTTCTAGTTTCTTAAAGTAATACATTTTTTGTCATTAAACATACTACCATATATTACAAGAATTTCTTTAGAGGTCCTTTAAGGCCCTTTGTGCCTCCCTAGCGGTCCATAGCAGTCCGGCAACTCATCGAAAGCATAAATTCTATGACTAAAATTATATTTTTTCTTAAAATTATACATTTTTTGTCATTAAGGTGACAACAGACACTTTCCGTGGTACTCACATAAATGTCATTTAAACCAAGTTATTTTAGTAATAATTGTTATTCATTTAATTTTTGTGCATTAAATGTCGTTGATCATCATAAAAAATAACATATTTGAAAAAAATGCCTTTGTAAATGATTGATTTTGAATAAAAATCCTAAAATTTTAAATCGTCATATCAAAGTCATTTTTTATTTTTTTGTCATCAAACTTTTGGAAAATAACCATACTTATATTATCTGGGGAACCGTGTCTCAAATTTTTTATATCTTTTCTCAAAAAAATATTACGTAACGTCAAACATTTTATGCGACTTTTTTCACCATACATATTACGTAATTAAAGATAATTAAGTCGCTGATTGAGCAAACAAAAATCCCTGACACGGTTCCCTCCGTAAATGAATTTCCTTTCATGTGCTTTAAACCGCATGTTAATTGCTTGATTATTAAAAAAGTTATGCCGATTCAAAGTTAGTCCGACCCGCATCAAACGAAGTGTCATAAATCGGCTGTTCTCTCTCGGACCCCTACGTTTCACGCTAAATAATTGCATAATACACAAATATCGCACCAGAGAGGGTCACAAGTTGCGGTAACATACTCTAACAACATTTTATGACCCAGTGACATCCGACCAATTAAAAAGCTGCTGATTAATATCAGTTTATAGCCGAAATTTCTTCAATTCTTAACGTGATTTACTGTCGTCGCACATGTCACGTGACTATCGGTAAAATTTGAGGCACTCAGTGGGGGCAAATGGAACGCATTTGCGCACCGCTAGCGGGGTATTTAATTGTTTCCTATTTGAAGTTTATTATTATTATCATCAGCATTATTATTGTATTATACCAGTGTCACTCTGCCTGTGTATTCGTGTATGAAATTCCGTTAAAATATAAAATAAAATAACAAAAAACTGAGCTTCTGACAGTCTTTTAAAGTCCATGGTAGATGTACAAATAAGAACGGGATAGTATATATTTTTTCCACCAAATTGATAATGCTTCACATATTTTAATAGAAATAAAAGGTATTACTCGATCATTATGATGTGGCCTTCTTGACTTCTATTATCATGAATATCATCTATGCACGGCATAGAGATCCAGTTTCTACCGGGATAGACAATAAATTTCATACTTTGTCCCAGATTTATTAGTACTGTGTCGGATTTACTGGCGAACAATTTATTTTCACTGAGAATATATTTTAATATCTTTTTTTATTCATAGAGAAATAATCATCCTTAGACAATCTAAAATGGTTTAGAAATTTGTCAGGGACACCTTACCACAAGTCATATAAGTGTTCACATAAAAAATATCGTCTGTTGTTGTTTTACTTGACATTGTTAGAAAACGAGGTTGAATGTAAAGTAAGCCCTTGAATCCGTACAAAAGTCTATCAACTCAATTTAATATATATCAGATTAACGGGACAGACAAATTATTTTCACACCTTATGGATATTTTAGCAACTACATTTTTAATCAACCCCGTGGTCGTGCGATTTGCCGCTATGCTTAATTATTTATGTTTCATACATTATGTTACGTACATTGGCCGACAATTTCTTAATTTATAAAAAAGGCTAAATGTTGAGATATTCATAAAAGATGTACGGTAGATGAACGATACATGTATTACGAGAAGTATGGACCAGTATGGACCTGTAATTCACGGATATATGGAACTACCGATTTCCCTCATTGATGCCTCAACAGGGGGCGGAGCGTTATCGATAATCGACAGGTTACGCGAATAGCAGATACAAATAGTATAGGTACCGTTTTAAATCGTTTAAAAACACATTTTTTGGACTAACTGCTTCCAAAATTAAATCACGAATGTGTTCAGAAAAGGTTGATAAATCTACTTAGCAAAAAATCTCATTTTAGGTATTTTCAGTGATAATTGACTCCGTTGTCACCTTAAACATACTACCATATATTACAAGAATGCCTTAGGAGGTATTTTAAGGTCCTTTGTGCCTCCCTAGCAGTCCTTTGTGCCTCCCTTGCAGTCCTTAGCTGTCCTGCAACTCATCAAAAGCATAATTCTATCACCAAAATTTAATTTTTTCTTAAAATTATACATTTTTTGTCATTAAACATACTAACGTGTATTAAAACAATGCTTTAAGAGGTACTTTAAGGTCCTTTGTGCCTCCCTAGTTGTCCTTGGTGCCCCTTGGAGGTATTTTAAGGTCCTTTGAGCCTCCCTAACATTCCTTAGCGGTCCTGCAACTCATCGAAGACATAAATTCTATCACCAAAATTATATTTTTTCTTAAAATAATACATTTTTTTATCTATTAACTTACTACAATATAATATAAAAATGCCCTAGGAAGTAATTTAAGGTCCTTTGTGCCTCGCTAGTAGTCTTTTGTGTACCTGAGCAGTCCTTAGCGGTCTGGCAACTCATTGAAAAAACATAAATTCTATCACTAAAATTATATTTTTTCTTAAAATAACACATTTTTTGTCACTAAACATACTACCATATATTATAAGAATGTTCTAGGAGGTATTTTAAGGTCCTTTGTGCCTCCCTAGCAGTTGTTAGTGCACCTGAGCAGTCCTTAGCGGTCCGGCAACTCTTCAAAAACATAAATTTTATCACTAAAATGATATTTTTTCTTAAAATAATACATTTTTTGTCACTAAACATACTACCTTGTATTATAAGAATGCCCTAGGAGGTATTTTAAGGTCCTTTGTGCCTCCCTAGCAGTCTTTTGTGTATCTGAGCAGTCCTTAGCGGTCCTTAGCAGTGTTTAGTAGGACCTACTAAACACTGCTAAGGACTGCTAAGGACAGCTAAGGACTGCTAAGGAGCCACAAAGGACTACTAGGGAGGCACAAAGGACCTTAAAATACCTCCTAGGGCATTCTTATAATACATGGTAGTATGTTTAGTGAAAAAAAAATTATAATTTTAAGAAAAAATATTATTTTGGTGCAAATTTTATGAGTTGCTGGACCGCTAAGGACTGCTCAGATATACAAAAGACTGCTAGGGAGGCACAAAGGACCTTAAAATACCTCCTAGGGCTTTCTTATAGTAATTCTAAGTTAATATTTAGAAAGATCTTCTGATCAGTTATATCTCTTAAAATCAGCATTAAAATTTAGTAATGAAATTTTTTTTCACCTTTCTATTGTTTTTATTTTCAGATTCGAATTTAGACTCAGGGTAAGTTAGTTTCTTAATAACAGAATATAAATTTATGTTAATTAGATTCAATGATATAAAGTTTCAAGATATCAAAAGTATTTTTTTTCCAAAAATGTCTACAGGCTCATTAATAATAATTAATTATAATAATAATACTTAGATCTACATGTTTATAGCTCAAGAACTGAAAATATGTTGTCATGAAAATAGGTTGGGTTTTTCAATTGCTATTTTTTAATGTGCTAGAAAAAACAACAGAATTTTGAATGGCCATTCACCATTGATAAAACTCCTTTGGGAAAAAAAATTCTAGCACTTCTGATCAAAGTTAGTAAAAAAATACCACTATGTCAAATCATTTTACTCACTGAATTGATTATTAATTTTGCATGAAATTATAAATTTTCTTATGTGTATTATTTTCTATACACCTTCCAAATAATTATGATGGAATAAGTGATATATTGGTTCTTTCAGGGACAACAACATCCAGGTGTTTGTAAGAATAAGACCTCCGTGTCAAGATGAACCTGGTAATGCGAGAGTTGTTGATGCAGACCCAAATAATGCCCAAGTCATACTTAGACAGCAACCAAAGAGCAAGGTGTTTGCCTTTGACTATGTGGCAGATGTGGACTCGAGACAGGTCTGTGTTTATTTGTTTTTATACATCATTTCTTTAAAAAACTTAGTGATTAATTATTTTTTGTCACCAATATAGAGCCAAGCCTGCTGTAATTTGTAATGTTCAGGTCTTTCTTCGTAAATATCCATTATACCATGATCTATAGTTCTCAGGGCTTTTTTCCTTCTATAGCTGGGGCCATTATAGGGCTGCTTCTCCATAGAAAAATATTTCAAAATCATGCAGGTTCCCTCAAAAATTGAATTTACATACAGTTTTTTCTTCCCCTTTTGCTAATTTACCTATAGTCTGTCCCATTAAAAATGGAAATGCACTTTTGCCTCGTGTGAATTAACAAAACGAGGTTAAATAAAAATTAAACTATTTTGGTAAACTAAAAAAAAGTCACCCTCGAGATTTTTCAGGATTTTTCTCTAAAGTGTCTACTTTTCTTGTGAAAGCAAATTTTGATTTCTCTATGGCAAATCTCTGTTGTTTATTTTCCGTAGCCATTGCCGAAGTACTCTTCATTTGAAGATGAACGGGAGAAAGCACGTGTTATGTTTCTAAAATATACATGAGGTTCTCGGGGTCGTTTCATGATTATTTTACAAAGCTGGATCTACAAGATGTAACAGTTTAGTTGCAATGCATGATGGAAAACTTTAAAAAAAATTAAAATTAGCAACACAAAAACACCGAGTCACACGGAGTAGGAAAAGAAATTGCACTTACTTTTAAGCTGAATAGAATCCCTATGAATTTCGAAATACATCTTTATATGAACGTCACCACAAATTCGCATTCTGAAGATTCCTTCATTGCAAGTTTCTATCCAGTTCCGTAGCTTCAAAACTCCTGAATGACATGACTCCTACACTTATGATGATCCAGATTTTTTAAACTGTTAACAATCCGTCTCTTTATTAAAACATTGTTAAATTTGTGGAGTTATCTGGGTTAGCAAATGAAATATGTAAATGAAACACATCATAATTCAGCATGTTCCAAATCCATAATTCAAGAACGGCCCATCAATTTTAGTTGTTAACATCACAATGTTTAACTCTTGAAAATGGATTCCTGACGAAAAAAACTTTATTACGTCAACAACAATTTACGAAATATATGACGTAACAAAAATGCCTCGCGCTTCCAGTTGCGGCATTGACAGAGGGCGGTTAGGCCAATGTAACCTCAAACAAATAATTTCAAGCGTTGAGATAAATATGCCTTGATTGCATTTTGAAGACCCAAATTTTGCAACTTAACTGTAAAAATTACACCTTCAATTCATATATTAATAATAAAACTTTCGATAACATTTAAATATTTTTAAACTCACTTAATGACATGAATCTATAACAGTACAATACTTCTTCCATTAATTACATATAACATTCGTTTTGATTTTATGTTTTTAAACTATTTTATATATTTCTCAGAAATGATTTCCCTACATATTATCCCTTATTATTAAAGACTTCTGTTAATCCTACTCTTTAAGTTACAAAATATACAATACGCGTTTTTTTTTCTGCCACGAAAAATATGCTAGATCAATTGTTTTTTCACTGAATCTTTTCAAATTTTAGGAAGGTTAAAATTATTGAGGTTCTCTTTGACTCGATCTCCCCTTCATATTAACATAATAATTATATGTAACACTTTGAGTCTGCAATAAAAACCGCACTTATTGTCGCTTATTGAACACTCCAATACAAACTTATTTTTAATAATAACACACGTTATCAAATCACTGCCGGTATTTCTGGACATTTTGTTGAATTATGAGACGGAAAGATAAATCTGTATTTACGAGCTTAAAGTGTACAGTATAGGCCTACGTTTGATTGCTCAAACTAGAAAGCGTGATATTATATTCTTATACATGTAATTTACAATTTCCTCGGACGCGAGTCTTTGTTCTCTCGTTAGCGAGGGGGTAAGTTAAAGTAGACACTGTGGTAACAAGCAAACCAATGCTGAACGTATAGTGAATCAGTTCTCTTTTCTATATATTTCTTGTCAGATTTGCATGATAATGTATTATTTGTTGGCGATTTCTTGTGAAGGAAAGGTTTAGCACACAAACATCGCACCCGAAATAAGAAGGGTAACATATTTTTGTATCTCATCGTACCTGGTCAATTCTAATTATTTTTGAATAGACGTGACACATATTAATGGACATAATTCAGACAACTACAGAATTATGTAAATTAAACATTAATTAGCGGATAACCATTTGATAGTCTTCTAGCTAGTGTTCCCGCTCCCCTTCGACGCGTTGCGGTATTCAAGATACGCGCTTGATTGAAAAGCTATCTAATCAAATCACTTCATTGTTCTTTTTCTCTTAAAAAGAATATAAAAATACGACAGTATATCATGGTAATTATAGAAATATTTGTGTGTTAGAATTAATAAAGCAGTTATTGATATTTCACTTCAAATGATTTTGATTATTTTAAATAATGGTTTGCTAGTAAAATTGTCTTTTTTGACACCAACTTTGTTTTCATTTTAATGAGAACATTTAGCTATTGCGAGCTAGTAATTTAGAATAATCATTTTTTGTATAATTACCGAGTACATTTCACGCTAATTGTGAGACGAACCCTAAATGACGTCTATATGGGCGCCGCCATTTTGAAATGGACGTCACGTCAGGTTACAACGTAAGTCAACGGGGAAAAATATAATTTTAACATTTCGACCATATTAATGACTTTATGAAAAAAATGAAAAACATGCCTAGAGATATTGACGTCAGGGTTAACATGACATTAATTTACATGATTTTACTATTATATTAAATAAAAAATGGAATGTTCAAATTTGATGGGACAGACTATAGTATTTTTTCGCCCAAATTAAAAGTAGGGCTGCTCCCCCAACCTGTGAAAAAAGGCCCTGGTTCTGTTTAATAAGTTTATTCTGTTATACCTCAGTCCTGACCTTAGTAACCAGATCATGACTAGAACAAACTTTAAATCTTTAAATGAGTTTATACATCTTTCCCCTGGCAGGCATAAAGTAATCAACAACAAGAAGGTACAAGTAGCTGAAACTATAGTACTTGCTGTCTAAACAGTGAAACCTAACAATAGTTATATGTATCACCAGATGTCAATACCTCATTATTGTATCTTGATACTGTATAATGATAGAGCAATGATCACAATTCATTCATAATATTTGACCATTTCTATTATTCAGGAAACAATTTTTTCCAAACTTGGTAAAAAGGTGATAGAGAACTGCATTGCTGGATACAATGGTACCATTTTTGCCTAGTAAGTTATTTTATCTTTTGAAAGCTATTTTTTGTTATTTGAGAAAGCAACTTTTTGTTCATATTGATTCTAAATCTGAAATAGTATGTTCACATTTACATCAGTTTCAGACATTTTGTCATCTGGTGCAAAATTTGGTTTAAATTAAGGCTTTGATATAGTCAGGTTTATTTTTAGAACGCAAAAGAATTTTCATTGCAAAATGTGTACTACTGCATATGTTTTTTGCGTTCCTAAATATTCAATTAAGATTTATTGCATCATTTGGCCTCCAGCCTATACACAAGTTAATCAACATTGTGATTTACTACTGATCATGACACGTGAAGTCAATGTCAATTTTCAGTAAATATGATAAAATGTTAATACAAATGATAATACAATGCATGGCTGTTTATACTTTTGGAATTTGTGCAGTAATTACTGTTAGATTGATAGAAATAAGTCAAAATTTTGTTTGACTGATTTGAATACCTTGACTGAATAAGGAGAGCTTTTGTAATCACCCAAAACTTTGGTTAAGTTTTTGCATGCAACTTGGTTTCTCCATAACCACTTGAGGGAATGAATTAAAACTTTACACACTCGTTTGATAGCATAATAGTAGGTCACTATCCAAGGCTTATAACTCTAATTCACATTTTGAGAGAGATATGGCCCTTTTGAACTTGATTAATTCTACATTATCCAGGCTCTCGTTTTACTATCAAGCACTGGGAATAGTTAAGTCGGCTGTCCTACTGACAGCTCTTGTTTTTTTATGCCATAGTGAGAGTTGATTGTATTTAGCAGAACTGTTCTTAGATTAAGATAAAGTTGAGATATTTTTTGACATTTCAGCGGCCAGACAGGTTCTGGTAAAACATTTACCATGATGGGTAAGTGGAATTCTGATGTTTAATCTCTAGTACTATCTTAATACATTGTTCCTATTCTTTCTTAAGATAGGTCTGGTAAACAAATCTGATAAAATAGTTAATGATAAAATGACTATAGTTTTCTGAAAGTGTTGTCCAAACTTTCCTTATGACATTACTTATACACAAATTATTTCTAGTTGCATATTTCTTTGATTAATTTTATAAATTAGTTTATCTAATTTCTCTTTTAGGCATGCATGGCCGATTAGTCTAGGTCTTTGACTTCAAACCATTCGCCTCTCACAGCTGTAGGTTCAAGCTGCGCCAGCGTCTTTAAATGATCTCAAGTCAGGGCCTTTTTACTTTCTATAACAGGGGCCGGTATAGGGCTGCTTCCCCAAAGAAAATTTCTTTAAAATCATGCAGTTTTCCCCAAAAATTGAATTTACATCAAGTTTTTTCTTCCCCTTTTGCCAATATACTATGTAATTTTCCCCCAAAATTAAGGGCTGGGCTGCTTCCCCAAACTGTGAAAAAAAGCCCTGCAAGTGAGAAAGCTATCAGCTATCCAGTTAGCTTAGAGAAAGTTGGTGGTTCTACTTTGGTGCCGATTTTTGCCTGAAACAATGCACAAAGGGACACCTTATAAAATGGTGATGAGGCCAAGTGGTTAACATGTCATACTAGAAATCTAAGGATTGCTTTCGAGAGAAAGTCATGAGCAAGAAACTTTACACTCATTGCTTAGTACTGTTTGGTTCCAGAAATGCATTTTAGAGTGTGTCAATAAGCTAATAGCGTCCAACACAATGGAACTATAATAAATTTGTATAAACTTAAATAATGATTTTATGTCTGAGTTAAAACATATTGAATATTAGTAAAAAAAATGGTCTTCTATCTTTATAAAGGGCCTTCAGAAGATGCTGAGAATTTCCAGCATGAACAACGAGGAGTGATTCCACGAAGTTTTGAATACATGTATAGCCTCATTACTAGAGAAAAAGAATTGGTAAGTAAACATACAAGTTCTTACCTCAATGCATGATCGTTCACTTTGTATGACTTGCAACAGCAAATGTACTAGTTTGTGCAAGAAATAATTTACAAGGGTTCATTATCAAAAAAGTAAATCTAGAAAGATGCAATATTAATGTGTTCCAGATTTTTACCAAGTATAATGTATACCTTTAAGAAATGTTTTGTTTGACTGAAACATGTATGTAATGCTAAATCATTCATTAATCACACATAACGCATAAATTATTACTTGAATAATAAATCTTTTTTTACTTTTCTTAAAATCTTAGTACATTTTTCTCAAGTTTGATTTTTCTCGAAATATTTGGCTCATCTGATAGCATGCAGCTTTAAAACTGTTAAAACTGGTGAAAAGACCAAATCAACAAGCAAACAGACGGTTAAATGAAACTTTTTAGTCCCCTACCGGTTTACCGGAGGGGACTTTAGGTTTACCCTCCGTCCGTCTGTCCGTCCGTCCGTCTGTCCGTCAGTCCGTCCACAAAACTGGATCCCGCGATAACTTGAAAAGTACTGAAAATATTTTTATGAAACTTGGTATATGGATAGATGGCAGTATGGAGATTATGCACGTCTTTTTCTTTTCTTCCTATGTTGAAAATTCTGGTTGCTATGGCAACACATAGATTGAAAATATGGCAAATTTTACACATAAACTGGATCCAGTGATAACGCAAAAAGTACTGGAAATATTTTTATGAAACTTGACATATGGGTAGAAAGCAGTCTTGGAATTATGCACGTCTTTTTCTTTTCTTCTTATGTTGAAAATTCTGGTTGCTATGGCAACAAATAGGCTGAAAATATGGCAAATTTTACACATAAACTGGATCCTAAGTGATAAAGCAAAAAGTACTGGAAATATTTTTATGAAACTTGACATATGGGTAGATGGCAGTCTTGAGATTATGCACGTCTTTTTCTTTTCTTCCTATGTTGAAAATTCTGGTTGCTATGGCAACACATAGATTGAAAATATGGCAAATTTTACACATAAACTGAATCCAGTGATAACTCAAAAAGTACTGGTAATATTTTTATGAAACTTGACATATGGGTAGATAGCAGTATTGAGATTATGCATGTCTTATCTGTTTTTCCTATTTTGAAAAAATATCAGTTGCCTTGGCAACAAATAAGCTTAAAACATGGCAAATATAACAATATTTGTGATTAGTCAAAAAGAGCTGAAAATTTTTATGAAATTGCATCTTTAATTCAAGAGTTATCTCCTCTTTAAAAATTTTGCTTTTAAAATGTTATATTTTGGTAACAGGGATGTTTCAAATATTAACTTTAGAGTGTCCTTCAGTCCGTCTGTCTGTCTGTTCATAAAAACTGTTTCCTTTGATCACTTTTAAAGAACTTTTCCAACAAGTTTACTTAAAATAGAGAAAAATTGAAACATAAGTGAATGGCCAATGGCCCTTCAGAATGTTGATGGGGTTCTAACCGGTAGGGGACTTATGGATTGCTTGCAATACTATGATAATTGCTTGTTTTTTTATAACTACAGCATGGAGAAAATAAGCAGTTTTTATGCAAATGTTCATTCCTGGAGAAAAAATACAATGAACAAATTTTATGCCCTTTTCTAAAACCCCTTCATCGTCACTGAAATTTACGAAAAGGAGTTGAAAACAGGTTTTTTCCCTTTAGAAAATCTGCCCGAAAGGTTGTCAAAAAATTGCCAGTGAAGCTTATGGGGTTTTATATATTTAAAGACATAAATTTTTAAATTTTTTGAAACCATTATCTTTTTAATCGTTTTACATCGGTAGGGTTTAGTTTTCAGCGTTTTTTTCTTTGCCCCAATCTTTTGTGGGGGAATCCTACGCCTGACATGTCCGACTTAGGACTGTTGCTAACAGACAAGTCAATTTTCCCGTAGCACATATGGCACTTGTCTACACACAAGAGAATTTGTGAACCAGGATTAACAAAATACTCTATCTCTAATCCCTTAACAATTGGAAACATTTATAATATTATTGAAAGCACTATGTCTGATTGGTTGTATTGAGGCAACTGCTCAGTTATATTAGGTATAAATGGTTTTAAGCTAACTTGAGCTGGAATGGAACCATGGAGGAGTGGTTAAGGGCATTGACTTCAAACAGCCTTCTCCTCACAGGGCCAAAAAACCCTTCTTTGTAGAGGCCGAATATAGGCTGTTTCCCCCAAACCCAAAACTACCTTTTTTTTTCCCCATTTTGGGTTCTAAAAATTTCCCCCAGTTTTTTTTGAAATTTTTCCCATAAAATTTTTGGGAACAAAATTAAAGTTTGGTGTTAAAATTAAAGGGCCCTTTTTTACTGCTATTTAGTATTTTAAAAGTGTTTTTTCCCTTTTTCTATTTTGAAGAATTTGTTTTAAAAGTTTTGTTTTTAAATTTTGGGGGACCCCTTTTTTCCCAAAAGAATCCCAAAAATCACGCTATTTTCCCCGAAAAAGGCTGGGGCCCTTTTTCCCCCAAAAAAAGGTTTTTTTGTCCCTGCCTCAAAGTTGTAGGTTTGAATCTTGCAATGGACTTTAGATTCTTTCATAATGATAAAGCTATCCAGCTATTGCAGAACTTTGGTGGTTTAACTCAGGTGCTCGATTGTGCCTTTAATAGTGCAGAGAGGCGCACCTGAGGACTTAAAACTCAACAGAAAGGTTGAAGTAGGTTATGTTAGAAACAGTGTTTATACACCTCCATTCAACTGGTATAGTTGTTATAACAGTTTCATGATATTGCACTAATGATTTCCTGTAAAAAAATACTTGATAAATTGTTAGGTGCTGTTTTATAGACAAGCATTACAAATCTTGTAGTTACATTTAAAAGCACATTTCTCTTTGGTTATTTAAGGTATTAAGTTCAAGTTGGATGAATAGGAAAGTTGCATCGACCTCCATGAACAGAGAATCTTCTAGAAGTCACGCAGTGTTTACACTCCAAATAGAGTCCAAGGTATTGTATTGGCATCATTTGAATATTTTAAGGATAAATTTATACTCTGTTTTAGAAAAATTGTTAGGGTCAGTATACCACAAATTTTCCATTGAAGTAACACCAGCATGAAAAATTTCACGAGTTTTTGATTGTTATTTTCAAGCTATATATCTGTTGCGATTAGGAATGTTTGATAATATTGGAGTGTATACTAGATTAAAGGGACTCCACTGAGGTTTTTTGACATGATAGGACCGGAAATAATTTTTGAGATCAATGTTCCATTTGATGTGGGTCAAAACCAATATCTTGTTCGCAAAATGTCAGAAAATAAGCCCATCCTTTTTTCCAGAATAATTATTCTTATTGTGAAAAAAACACCCAATTTTAATTGGCTAAGAATATCAGGAAAATGGCTTTCAATGCATTTCTGAATAAACTTAATAATATTTTGCATATCTTTCTGTTTTAAGTGCCCCAGCTGATTTATGAAAGAAATTCAAATTTTATATACTTGCCCTACATATGATCTTATAATTTACAGATGTGTAAAGGTGGCATGGACAAGGTTATCACATCATCACTTAACTTGGTTGATTTAGCTGGCAGTGAGAGACAAAAAGATACTCTTGCTACAGGACTTAGACTTTAAAAAGGTATATATTACATCAACTTTTGTCTCTGTGAATGTTTGTATGAGTGAATTGAATATTTGCTTTTATTCTGGTGATGATATTGTGTAATTAGATACTTTACACAGGATCTTCATGCAGATTTCTTAAAGTTCATTGACTTCATATCATTTGCATGCGTGGCTGTGCTTTCGTTTCTCCAACCAACCTTTTTTTTAAAATTTTAATCCTGCAAAGAGTTCTATGATTGATTATCTGGAACAAGCTAAATAATGGGTCAATGTTGGTTATTTTACTTGTAGTCTGGCTTGTTCCTGAATTTATTTGAAAGGAAAAAAGTTACGCAAAGGGTATTTTTCACCATCAGAAAACAATAAATTCACACAAAAAAAATAGGTGATTTTTTTCCCCAAAACCAAAAAATATATGTCGATTTTTTTTAGAATTGTGTGATAATTATATTCCAGGAAGCTGGCTCCATTAACAAAGTTTGTCTAATCTTGGTAAAGTTATTATGTGTCTTGTCAATGTATCCAGAGATGGCAAGAAAAGATTTATACCATATCGTGACTCGAAATTAACCTTCCTGCTCAGGGTAAGCATTATAATTCTTTTCATATAAGCTTGTTTCTCGGGCATCTGTAACCGAGTGGTTAAGAGAGTCTATGTCCAACCATTTGCTTCTCACAGCTGTGTGTTCTAGAGGTGCGCGGTTTAAACCGGTTATTACTGGTAAACCACGGTCCGAGACACCTGCGGTACGTACCGCGGTACAGACTTGGAAAACCGGGTACTTTTAGCTCTAATTTAAAGCAATTACAGATCCGTAAAATGTACTAAATTAAAAAAACTTTTTCTGTTGTATATGTTAATGTTTCTTTGAGTTAACCTTTATGCAAACAACTTTCGCCGACTATTATTCATTCTTTCGATAGTTCTTAGCGAAAAAGTTGAATGCTTTATCGATTACCGCATGTAAGCCAGAATTGTCAACTTGCATGATCTCAGTTGAAGAAGCAAGAATTGTCGACTTACATTTACTTGTCCAAATATCGCTTATTTGATACGAAAACTAATCGTAAAGATTGATAATTCATATGGGCATTCCGTGCATAAAATTAGGGTGTTACTATTTTAAGTATTTATATAAATAGCGACCAATCAGGCAAGGGTTTTCCTTATGTCACGCCACTTACTGCATGGGCATGGCAATTAACTAATTATAGAATGGCATAGAAAACTGGATTAAAAGTAATGTTCATTCAACTAATGAATATCAATTAAGAAGTTAACTATGGTCAGCAGTGTTTTCTATGTTGATAATTTTAATTTGCTTTTGGGGTACATGTTGTTTTGGTTTTTGACACAGATTAATTAAATACTTAGCCCTTGCAATAAAAAAATTACAATAGCAGCTGGGACTCTGTTATAAAATTAACGACAAATAAATATTTGTCATCAGCTAACGTGCATTTGACCTATTATTTTTATTAATCAATGAGCAATAAAAACATTTAATTTTCCACTTTAACTATGCAATTTAAATAACAGTTTGTTAAATGTTGAAGAGACCAATAGGCCTATGTAATTAAAAAAAACAACAAGAACTGAATCCATGACCAATTAATTTATGATTGTCAACATGCGAAAGTACCTGATTGAAAAAAAGTTAAATGATGCTTTGGTTAATCTGTATTTTATAGATCTGCTTAAATTTAATATTTTGAAATTCTATACCAGCCTACCTTGATACTTATTTTAAGGGATAAAATTTAACATATTAGCATACAATGAAAAACCATGGTTTATACCGCGGTTTATACCGTGGTTTTTTAGGAAAAAACCCGTGGTATACCGTGGTATTTTCTTTCTGGCGGTACCCAACTCTAGTGTGTTCAAACAATTCCCACCAGGGACTTTGGATTTCTTTCATGTGAGGGAAGCTTTCCATTAAGCTAACAGAAAGTCATTGGTTCTGCTTAGGTGCCTGTTTGTGCCTTGAAATAATGCACAGAGAGGTACTTATTGGGTGTGTCAGGTTGACTTGTAGCCCAACCAAACGAAAAAAAAACAAAAAGCAAAAAAGTAAATAAATTAATAGAAATACTACTTCTGTTGTGTTCTGATGAAATCCTTGCCAATGATAATTCAGTTGAACTTCGTTCGCTCGAACTCGGAGGGTCTGTGAAAATTTGGTCGAGAGATCGGTAGTTCGAGCCAACCGAGGTTGAACTATTATTACATAGAACACATATCTAAAGGTTTTCCAGCTTACATAGGTCAAATGATAAATACGTCAATATAAATGTTGTTAGGACATCTGTTTGTCAAATAATTAAACAATGAATTAATTAAATATAAAAAATAACATTTTACAGCAGCATATAGCATATATTTGTAGTCATTTACTAAAAAAAACATTCTATAAATAGATTACACTGACAATTCACGATACATGAACCATGGTTGTAATTAAAGCCGTCCGGGTAAACGTCATTTATTTATTGACTTTTGCGCATTTCAGGAGTTGTTTTCTTTTTATCGTTACTAAAGACGGCAAATATATAATTTTATCGTAACAAACAAATCGGTTACAACACCTTTTATTTTGTATCAATTAACCTTAATTGCCTTTGTCCATTCACGAGGTGTTAAAAACATGTGTCACCGACTGTCAATTATTTAGAACATGTTTAGAACTTTTGTTGTCTGTTTGTGTTCGACCGAAAAGGTGTGATTTACACTATATTTCTGCCGAAGGGACCAGAGATCATGTTCGAGAGTTCGAGCGATGGGTGTTCGAGCGATCCGAGGTAGAACAATATATATTATATAGGAATTTTGCCGGGACTAGTCGATGAGTTCGAGCGAAGGGCGGCATTCGAGGGATCCGAGTTCGAGCGAACGAAGTTTAACTGTACCATTGTCTTCTTTTATTATCTTTTCCCTTGGATTATGTTGGAGCTGTTTGGTAACTGCCTTTTATAGATTTTTTTTTTTGCAATGGAAATGGTTAATAGATATTGTTATTTATTTCTTTCAGGATTCACTGGGAGGTAACTCGAAGACAAGTCTGATTGCCTGTGTACATTCAGGATATAAGTAAGTTGCTGTTTTAATTTTCTAGTATAAAAGTATGCTCAAAAGTGATTGTTTTTAGCACGGCTATCAGAAGAATGGGGAGTCTGAGCTATTGTACTCACCTCAAGGCTATTGCACAAACACTGGTCAGTTTTCGAGTACAAGTTGGTATCTCCAAAACTACAGAAGGGAATGGGTTGAAGCTTCACACATTTGATCTCTGTGATGTAACATGATCTGAGTAAAAATATTAAAGATTCAAGTAATGATTTACAATTTTTTTTTGGTGATTATTGACTGATTCACCATATTTCTACTGAGTTACTAACACAATAAGGCTATTTTTGCAGATTTTGACCTCTTTGGTAATTTACATGGATTGTAAGTGTTTCAAAATTTTCATGTACATCAGCATGAACCTGGAGGCATGCTGCATTAACTTATAAATATAGCATGAAGTTACTTGCTGGTATATTTCAGGTGTTATGGGGAGACACTCTCTACATTGCTGTTTGCCAAAAATGCCAAGATGATCAAGAACAAAGTTAGTATAATCTTTCCTTTTTATTGATTCTGGAACATTTTGAGACAGATATAGGTTATTGTAATTTACTATACAGATCAATAAGGTGGTAGTCAACTGTCGTATTGCATTTTATCTTTTAATTGATTCCGAAACATTTTGAGAAAATCTAGTTTCTTGTAATTTATTGTATTGATCAATAACTTTATAGACAACTGTCATGATGCATTGAATATATATATGTAGAAGTGATATAGTAAAAAAAGAAATCAACAAATAGTTTGATCATTTATACATCATTTTCTAAAATTTCACTTAAATATATATTGTACAGTTTTGCAATACAAAATGTGGAATGAATTTTGCAGCTTAAAGTAAGCAGTAAAAATTAAGCTGAAAGTAAAAATTATACAGTCGCTAGTGGGTTGAATTAATACATTAAGTGAAATGTTGTATAAATTCTATCAAAGAGTATGCTTTGTGGCTTTACTTTATCAATATTAGAATTAGATCTATTGGTTTGTTGTTTTTTTTTAAAAAAAGTCTTTAATGTAGTTTGGGTTGTGTTTTATCTTCCAGGCTGTGCTGAATGAGAATTCGCATGGAAACCTACTGAAATTACAAACCTTAGTTAAAGAGTTGACTGCTGAGTTAGATTTATATAAAAGAGGCGTTCAACGTCCAATCTCTACAGGTAAACATTGTAGTTGTATAACGTAAGTGTAGTTTTCTACTGTTCTATGAGCAAGTTTCTGAATATAATTGATTTAAGATGTAAATTGTCAAACAATGTATGAGGAGGACTATTGAGTCTGTTATTGTTGTGCCAAAACACTTCAGTGTTATCAATATGTAATCCTCTTGTACATTAATTGTCTTATGTAAGGTTTGTGCTTTATTTAAGAAATAATATATCCCAAACTGTGATTTTATCGTTCAATAACATCACTGTTTGGAGTTCGGATGCGAGGAATTATAATAATAATGCATATATAATGATGCGCATCCGAACGACAAACAGTGATGTTATCCAGCGATAAAATCACTGATTTGGATATATTATTTCGATTCTAACAGGGCATAAACAAATAAATGCTGCTGTACTTGCTATTAAGCAAAATTGCGCCTGATTTGTTTCCGTACTTATTGTCAGCGCGTCGGATTCTTTAGTGGTTACGTCACATGTATAATAATTATGTCACATGTCTAAATATAGAACGTCAAACAGTGACTCTATTGCATAATAATACACATTTTCGGTTCTTCTATGTTCAATAGGGGAAAAATGCGAGTTGTGTTAGAATTAGAAATAAACTAGTGTGAAATTAGTTCATGTTATCATGGACCAATGAATGAGTTATCACCAAAAGTGTTATTTATTATGGGGTCAAGTTTGGTAAGATAATTGTGACTGACCTGTTGTAGCACTCTGCAGTGTTTTGTTATAGGGATGATTTTGGGCTGAATTTCAGGCCCATTCCTCTTCTTAAAAAGTTTAAATTTTCTACTATTCCTGAAAAAATCCCCCTCAACAAAAAAACATTTTTCTTTTAGATTAATGGACCAGAGAGAAATATTTGTACAGTAAATTCTCTCTATTAAGACCACTAACGGGGGCTGACTCAAAGTGGTCTTAATAGTGAACTGGCCTTAATAGTGACTTTAACAGCTGACGAAGTCCAACTTAACTTAATGATTTTTTTGTATACCTTGTATAGTTTTATGCACATGGTAAATGTACTTTATTAAATGAGTAAAAAGAAACACATATTTTTTTAAACAAAAAAAAAAACATTTTTAATGTATGATAATATGATACATCATTAATATATTAATATAATGAAAATATTAATTTACGGCTAGTGTTTTAAGTTTCCCCTTTAGAAGAAAAATATGAGGTATTAAATATAGTTACGACTCTCATTATGATTTATACATTAATTACATATCGAAATAAAGCACACATGAACTGATAATTTGGTGTATTTAGCAATTTTTACCATACTTGCTATAAATTGTGATGCACAACAAACAATTTTAAATGCTATTTTCCTGTTTATTACATCCTAATTACCCCAACAAATTAATCGTTTCTCACACCATAGCTGCTTAGATTAATTAGCCTGAAGTGGTTTAAACTGATCATGTTGACGCTTGAATGCTAAAGTTACATCGTAAAGCAAGCGTCTAATCAATCGATATATATTAATGACCTCATTTGACACGGTGTATTTGTTTACACCAGAGGGAAGATTACAACAATTAATGGGGGGCAATAAACACCAAGTAATGTCTGGCAATTATGTTGCATGGTCGTAATACAGGTTAATGTTTTGATAAGAAATACACACAAATGTCTGACAGAAGTGGTCATTATGCCGGATTAGAGACGTGGTCGGTATACTATTCACTTTTCTCAATAAATAAAGAAGGCAAATATTTCGTACTTTTAAAAAGTGCCCGTAATAGTGGTGTGGTCCTATTTGTGGCGTGGTCGTTAGGTGGCATTTTACTGTATTTTGAAATGTCTTGTATGCATATATTTAACAAAAGTTAGGACTGTTTTCGCTGTTTCTCAATTTTAACTAGTTTTCACTATGTGGAACTATATTCCCCTCTGCCTTGCCACCATTCTAGTAAATGTGAGAAATGCACTGCTCTAATGAGTGATATAGGGATTTTATGGCCTTCCTTGTTTTGTAGTTATGATAATTGGTGACTAACTATGCTAATTATTATATTTTTTACAGCTGAAGTGGAAGTTGAGATGCCAGTACTAAAAGAAATGTTTTTACAGGCAATGAGACTTCGTCAGGTTGCTGAAACTGAGAAACAGGTAAAATCACTAAAATACATGTTATATTTTGTCTTATTTAAATACCGGTATATGTAAACAGTAAACTAAATTTATTGGGGGAAACAACACATCAAAATAACAGGTTGGTTTATATATCTAATATAACTACGGGTTTCGGGTATTATATACCCTGGTTATTTAATATATCTATCAAAATTGTGTGAGAAAAAAGTTCTTTATAAGTGAATACTGATTATAAAAACTGTTAAAGGGACTCCATTGAGGTTTTTTTACATAATGAGAATGGAAATATTTGACTGGAAATATTTTTCCAAGATTTGTTTACTATTTGAAGTAGTTCTGGACCAATAAATTGTGTGCAAATTTTTCAGATCATTCCCTTCCAGAATAATAATTTTTATTGGGCAAAATTGCTTAAAATGAATAGTGTTGCAAGGCTTTTCCCTCAAATCTGGCTAAGAATCGCACAAAAAATTGCTATACAATTTAATTCTGAGCATATTTCTTGATTATCCTATGAAAATTTTTCATTTTAATTGCTTCACTTGATTAATGTAAGAATTTCAAATTTTATGGTTTAAGTGTTTTTGACATCAGTTGATTTCCTTTAAGAGAAATTTTGACTACTTTTTAAAAAAAGAAAAAAAATAACCAATGAATGTTTTTACTAAGCATAGTGGTTTGTTTTCCGACCAGTATAATATACATGCTGAGTGGTTAACATGTCAGATTATTAATATAAGGCTTGCTGACTGTGTTGGTTCAAACCCTGTCAGGGGCAAGCTGTTGTTTCCTTGAGTATGAAACTTTACACCCATTGCTTAGTACTTGTTGGTTCCAGGAACGGTTTCAAGAGTTCAATAAGCTTATGGCTTCCAACACAATCCACCTAAAATCATTTTGTATAAACAAATATACATGTAGTCAAAAAGGAAACCTTTAAATGTTCATCTATTGACAGGATCTTCATATGGAAATAGAAAAGTTACGAGAATTATGTGACAAGAAGGATAAAGCGATACAAACTAACAAAATGATCATAAAGTTCAGGGACAACAATATCAAAAGATTGAGTGAAAAGATGAAAGGACAGGAGACCAGTTCTCAAGAGGTATTGTTACTTAGCAACCATTTTGACCTGCTTACTTGAACATACCAGGGCTTTTTTTCACAGGTTTGGGAAGCAGCCCTGCCCTTCATTTTGGGGGACAATTACAGCATAAATTTGCAAAAGGGGGAGAAAAATCTTCATGTAAACTCAATTTTTGGGGAAAACTGCATGATTTTAAAGATTTTTTCTTTAACGGCCCATGCTACAGAAGAAAATGAAGCCCTGCATACTTACATGATTTAAATCAGCACAGGTGTAGCTTATCCTTTATTTGTTTGGTAAGTAATGGAATTGCTATGATGTACAGTAGCTATTATACTTTTGTGAAAATGTTTAAGGATTTATGAAACTACATGAAGTTTTTTTTTATAGGTAATGTTTTTATGCCCCCACAAAGTGGGAGCATATAGCGTTGCACTTGTCCATCCGTCTGTCCGTCCGTCCGTACGTCTGTCTGTCCGTACGTCCCGAAATCTTGTGAACGCAACTCCTCTTAAACCGGATGGCAGATTTTGCTTAAACTTACAGGGATGAAACACCTTAATGTGTAGATGGTAGTAAAGGAAGGAATTTTCGCTGCGACCAAATTTAACAGAATTATGGCCCTTTGTTGATTTTTTCACTATATACTATGTAGAAATTTTGTGAACGCAACTCCTCTTAAACCGGATGGCAGATTTTGCTTAAAATTACAGGGAAGAACAACCTTATTGTGTAGATGGTAGTAAAGGAAGGAATTTTTGCTGCGACCAAATTTAACAGAATTATGGCCCTTTGTTGATTTTTTCACTATATACTATGTAGAAATTTTGTGAACGCAACTCCTCTTAAACCGGATGGAAGATTTTGCTTAAACTTACAGGGAAGAACAACCTTATTGTGTAGATGGTAGTAAAGGAAGGAATTTTTGCTGCGACCAAATTTAACAGAATTATGGCCCTTTGTTGATTTTTTTCACTATATACCATATAGAAATTTTGTGAACGCAACTCCTCTTAAACCGGATGGCAGATTTTGCTTAAACTTCCAGGGAAGAACAACCTTAATGTGTAGATGGTAGTAAAGGAAGGAATTTTTGCTGCGATCAAATTTAACAGAATTATGGCCCTTTGTTAATTTTTTCACTATATACCATAAAGAAATTTTGTGAACGCAACTCCTCTTAAACCGGATGGCAGATTTTGCTTAAACTACCAGGGATGAACAACCTTAATGTGTAGATGGTAGTAAAGGAAGGAATTTTTGCTGCAACCAAATTTAACAGAATTATGGCCCTTTGTTGATTTTAAGTTTTCAACTTGTGGCACATGTAGTCAAAAAAATATTTGACCTAGAGTCATAAGATTGACAGAACAGTGGCGTGTGGGGGCATCCGTGTCCTATGGACACATTTCTAGTTTTTTTCTTTTATGTAAGTGTTAACCGATTAATTAAAGTAATTTGACAGTTAAATTTAGAAAATAAAATATATTATATTTACTGCAAAGATAATTTTTCATTAGAAATTTAGTTTAAAGGGGTCTCCGTTGCCAAATGATTAAGCTTGCTGACTGTGATTGGTTGACCCTCAAAACTTACAAACAGTGTAAATTTATGGTATAATAAAGCCGTTCCTTTCCTAAGGACACATTTCTAGTTTCAACTCTGGTGCTCACCCAAGTAACAAATTTTGCATCTGTGCATTACAGGCCTCCTGGAAGGCCTTTATCCCCCAGTAAAGCTTTCTAAGTCTTCAAATGATCTTTACTACTTTGATATGTGTCTTAGGAATACAAATGAATACAAAAACATGTGTTTATATTAATACAGGAGGAGTTGTTAAAGGAGATTGAAGTATTGAGGTCACAAGTAGAGCACCATCCTTTTGTCGCCAAACATTCTCTAGAGGTTCAGAGATTGAAGGCTACTATCAAGTCTCTACGTGAAGACACAGGTGTCCTCGCTAATATTCATGCAGATGGTGAGAAGATTCGTGAGCTAGAGGAGGAATATCATAAATTACTTGCAGAACAGGGTGATAAACCAGGTAAATTATTTAATCCAGTGATTATTTTGAATGGTTAATTACTTTATCCAGAAGATTCACAAACTTGAGGAGTATCATAAACTACTGGCAGAACAAGATCCAGTGATTATTTGTAATGGTTAATTAATTTGTCCAGAAAATTAGTAAATAAGAGGAGTTTCATAAAATGCTGGCAGAACAGGGTGATGAAGCAGGTACATTACTTTATTTAGTTACCATTTGTAATGTAGACTTTAATGACTGTCATATCCCTGTTATTATACCGTATTATCTGCCTGTACATCGCTTTAAAGGGACTCTACTGAAGTATTTTGATATGACAGGACTGGAAATAATTTTTTTCGAGATTGATATTTCATTTGATGAAGGTCTAGACCAATAACCTTTTGGCAAAATTTCAGATCATTCGCCCACTTCATCTTTAGAGGATGATTCTTTACCTTTTAGAAATGACATAAAATAGAAAAAAAAAACGTTTCAAGTGCCCTAGCTCATTTATGTAGGAAATTCAAATTCTATGTTCTTAGGCTTGACGTCAGTGAAGTCCCTTTAAAGCTCACAATGACTAAAATTCTCAGTGACATTTAATCTTGAATATTGAGTCTAATGATCAATTTGTCTCATCACTGTGGCATAATAAGTCTTTCACTTGTAAAGAAATTCTTAAATACTTGTTTGTAATCAAGGAAAGCAGATTCATGGATTGTTCATCAATATATGACAAAAAAAATTGGCATAAAAACCAGGCAAGCAAACACAGTTTAAGTGGATTAGGATTAAATGGGCATAAGAAATAAGAAATTCAAATATTAATTAAACAATAGAAATGTTTAATTTCAGATACAACACCACAAAGAGCAGATATGACTTCGACAGCAACAATAGAAAAGATGAGGTCACAAATGTCCGAATTAGAGGGTCAGGTAGAAAAGGTAAACAAGTTGCTGAGAATTATATATCCTAAATTGCTTTAAGGATAATGATTGATTCATGAAGTGTGATGAAATAGAGATGATGCTATTTGTTAATGTTAACTTAAGATGTATGTAATAAATTGGGGTATCACTAGTTGTATTGAAGAAATAAAGAAGCTGTAGAAATGTGCTCTGTCTGTCTGTCTGTCTGTCCATCTGCACACTTTGTGTCTAGTCTATAGCTCTTCAAAGGATTTTGAAATGACTTGGAACAAACATTTACCATAATTAGATGATGTGTCATGCTCAACAGTGACTGCGCTAGAAGATAACCGTAATTTCATCTTTAATAAATTTTCAAATTATCTTCCCTTATGTACTTATTTTCAGTGATAAAACCTGCAAAAATGTATTTCTTTTGACATATACAGTACACTCAAGCCATTTTTAGCTCGACTTTTCTATGAAAAGGGGAGCTATCCTACTCGCCCCGGCGTCGGCGTTAGCGTTGGCGTCACACCTTGGTTAAGTTTTTCGTACCACCCCACTTTATTTCAGAAGTATTACAAGTATGGCTTTGAAACTTACCATACTTGTTCACCATCATAACCTCCATCTACAGACAAGAGTACATAACTCTGTCAAGGTTTTTGACAGAATTATGGCCCTTTTTTGACTTAGAAAGTGTATTGAGCTTGGTTAAGTTTTTTGTACCACCTCACTTTATTTCAAAACCATTGGAGGTATTGCTTTGAAACTGACCATACTTGTTTACCATCACGACCTTCATCAACAGACAAGAGGACATAACTCTGTCAAGGTTTTTGACAGAATTATGCCCCTTTTTGACTTAGAAAATACATTGAATATGGGTAAAATCCACTTATTGCCTTAACCCTTTGAGATATTGCTTTGAAACTTTTAATGCTATTTCACATCATTACCCCCATCTGTACGCAAGAGAAGGTAACTCTGTCAAGGATTTGTTTTAAAAATTAAGGCCTTTTATCGACTTAGAATCTTGGTTAAGTTTTTAGTACCAGTCCACTTTTTGACTGAATTGTTTGAGATATTAATTTGAAAGTTGGAATACTTGTTTACCATCATGGTCCCAAAACATGGGCAGGAGAAGGTAATTCTGTTAAGGATTTTATTTGAATTATGGCCCTTTTTGACTTAGAAACTCAGTTAAGATTTTCATTCTTGTCCACTTGTTGACTTAACCATTTGAGATATTACTTTGGAAGTTGGAGTTCTTATGTGCCATCATGAGACCTATCTGTAAGCAAGAGAAGATAACTCTGTGAAAATGTTTCTTGATTTGTACTTAGAAATTCCTAGTTAAAGTCTTGTGTGCCCTTAACTGTCAAAGTTTTGTTTTATAGGCAAGCACTAAAAAAGTCGAGCGCGCTGTCCTTCTGACAGCTCTTGTTGCACTTTCCGCTATGCCACTGCTGAAACTTTTAACAGCCAGTGGAAAATCATGGGGTACATACTATGGTCAGTCAGGGTGGCAAATCACTGCGGGCTGGTTAAACAACCACCTCAATCCCCGATGGAAAATCACTGAGATTTGCCGTGATAAATATGGCATATAAATTTTCATGTAAATTTACAATGTAGTCTTGTTTGAAAAAAATCAATAACACATATATATATATGCTTTAATATCAGCCTTTACATCATCTGTATATGTATAAAAATTGAGAGTATTAACAATAACTGACACAATAATTATCCAACAAAACGTTTTTACTGTTTTGTTTTATTTATATTTATGTATATTTTAGTTAAAAGAAGAACTATGTCAGTGTCAGCAAAATGCGGAAAAGAAAGAGAAATTGCAGGACAGTGAAATTGAGTCTTTCAAGAAAACAGTAGCTGAGCTGGAGATGATAATATCTGCCAACAACATGCGTACTAAACTTGAAAAAGCTGCAATCAATGAAATGCACAGACAAACTGTCCTGGTAGTTGTTAATCTTAATTTTTTGTGCCCCCACGTTAGTGGCGGGCATTTAGATTTACCCTTGTCCGTCTGTCCTTCCGTCCGTCCGTCTGTTCATTTTTGTGTCGCAGGTAACTCAAAAAGTATTTGACCTAGAGTCATGAAACTTTACAGGAATGTTGATCAGCATGTGTAGTTGTGCACCTGGGTATTTTCGTCTGGATATTTTAAGTATTTTCAGAGTTATTGCCCTTGACTTAATAAAATTTTGCAATTTTCAACTTGTGTCGTATGTAACTCAAAAAGTATTTGACCTAGAGTCATGAAACTTTACAGGAATGTTGATCAGCATGTGTTGTTGTGCACCTGGGATAAATTTGTCTGGATATTTTTAGTATTTTCAGAGTTATTGCCCTTGACTTAGTAAAATTTTGCAATTTTCAACTTGTGTCGCATGTAACTCAAAAAGTATTTGACCTAGAGTCATGAAACTTTACAGGAATGTTGATCAGCATGTGTAGTTGTGCACCTGAGTATTTTTGGTCTGGATTTTTTTATCATTTTCAGAGTTATTGCCCTTGACTTAGTAAAATTTTGCAATTTTCAACTTGTGTCGCATGTAACTCAAAAAGTATTTGACCTAGAGTCACGAAACTTTACAGGAATGTTTATCAGCATGTGTTGTTGTGCACCTGGGTATTTTCGTCTGGATAATTTTAGTATTTTCAGAGTTATTGCCCTTGACTTAGTAAAATTTTGCAATTTTCAACTTGTGTTGCATGTAACTCAAAAAGTATTTGACCTAGAGTCATAAAACCTTATGGGCAGGTTGCTCAGCATATTTAGATTTGCACCTGGGGTTTCGCTTGTGGATTTATCCAGTATTTGTAAAGTTATTTCCCTTGACTTTGTAAAAAGATTGACAGAACAGTGGCGCGGTGGGGGCACCCGTGTCCTATAGACACATTTCTAGTTCAACTTCAATACAGTCTGGATTCTTGCCAATCAGATTCAATATTCTTGTTTTTGATAGGACTGTCTTTGATTGAAAATTTGTGTATCAATATATATAGAAACCCAAATATAAATGATATATCAAAATAGATAGCTTGTGAAGTGGAAAACTACTTAGTATTTGAATATGTTCAATAAACTGTCTTCTTGATGTTATGCAAGCATGCTTTAATACTGACAAACACAGGATACAAAAAGAAAGTATGTGTTAGTTTTAAATCTTCAAGACCTCTGAAAATTATGTCCATTTTTCGGACTAGAAAAGGAGAGTGACTATTTCCCTTTACACAAAATACGAGAAATATTCTCTCTTAACATGTAGAAATGGGTTTTAGATTGTATTGATTTCTTAATTGTTTATCGATATTGTATAGATTGTTGAAAATCATTGATACAAACTTTGACTGTCTTCTGTGAAAGAGTTAATTATAATATCATTTAAATACATATACAAGATAACCAAATAACATATTCCCTAATGATAGCATCTGTTATATTTTCAGACTATTACAACGCCTAAGAAAGAAAGATATCAACTGCGTAACAGGACTGTAGTTGCAAGTTGTGAGACCCCAGACCTGGATATTTCAATACCTTTCGAGGAACCTAAGCCCACGTCCCCAGTTCAAGATGAGGGAATTCTAGGGGAAGTGTTCCCAGAGGAGGTTGCTCAGCAAGCCCTGCTTGAGCAAATAAAACAATTACAGGTGAGAACAGGATACTGATAATGTATAAATTTCATAGTGGTCAAGGTCCTGAACTTTGAACCCCCTGTAGGTTTGAGCAGCAAAAACAACAACATGATTTAAACCTGTTTTATGAAAGTTTGACAGCATGTTTTCTTAGCTAAGCAAACGTTGATTCCTCAGTGTATTTGGTGCAAAGTTTGGCGTGTATTTTGTAAATGTTCTTCTTTATGATTATGTTGTTTAAATGTTAACAGAATAAATGAAATCAATTCAAAATCAGAAATACTGGAAAAACCAAATTGGAAACATATTTTCAGCTTAAAACAAAGAACAAACAAAATAAATAGCTTATTTTTTAGCTTACCTGTCACAAAGTGACAGGGTGAGCTTTTGTGATCGCTTTTCGTCCGGCGTCCGTCCGTCGTCCGTCCGTCCGGTCGTCCGTCCGTCCGTCCGTAAACTTTTACTTTAAATGACATCTCCTCATAAACCACTAAGCCAATTTCATCCAAACTTCACAGGAATGTTCCTTTGGTGGTCACCTTTAAAAATTGTTCAAAGAATTTAATTCCATGCAGAACTCTGGTTGCCATGGCAACCGAAAGAAAAAACTTTAAATATCTTCTTGTAAAAAACCATAAGAGCTAGAGCTTAGATATTTGGCATGAAACATCTTCTAGTGAGTGTCTACCAAGTTTGTTCAAATAAATGCCCTGGGGTCAAAATTGGCCCCGCCCAGGGGGGTCATTGATTTTCCCTATATGCATATAGTAAAAACTTAAAAAATTTTCTTTTAAAGAACCCAAAGAGCTAGAGCTAAGATATTTAGCATGAAACATGTTCTAATGGGTGTCTACCAAGTTTGTTCAAATAAAAGCCCTGGGGTCAAAATTGGCCCCGCCCGGGGGGGTCATTGATTTTCCCTATATGCATATAGTAAAAACTTAAAAAATCTTCTTTTAAAGAACCAAAAGAGTTAGAGCTAAGATATTTAGCATGAAACATGTTCTAATAAGTGTCTACCAAGTTTGTTCAAATAAAAGCCCTGGGGTCAAAATTGGCCCCGCCCCGGGGGGTCATTGATTTTCCCTATATGCATATAGTAAAAACTTACAAAATCTTCTTTTAAAGAACTCAAAGAGCTATGGCTAAGATATTTAGCATCAAACATGTTCTAATAGGTGTCTACCAAGTTTGTTCAAATAAAAGCCCTGGGGTCAAAATTGGCACCGCCCCGGGGGTCATTGATTTTCTTTATATGTGTATAGCAAAAACTTAAAAAATCTTCTTTGAAAAAACCCAAATAGCTAGAGTTAAGATATTAAGCATGAAACATCTTTTAGTGAGTGTCTACAAAGTTTATTCAAATAAAAGACCTGGGGTCAAAATTGGCCCCGCCCTAGGGGGTCATTGATTTTCTTTATATGTGTATAGCAAAAACTTAAAATCTTCTTTGAAAAACCCAAATAGCTAGAGTTTAGATATTAAGCATGAAACATGTTCTAGTAAGTGTCTACAAAGTTTGTTCAAATAAAAGCCCTGGGGTCAAAACCGGCTAGGCCCCAGGGGTGTCATTGTTTTTAACTATATTTGTATAGTAAAAACTTAAAAAAAAAATTCTTTTAAAAGCCCAATGAGCTAGAGCTTAGATGTTTAGCATGAAACATCTTCTTATGGGTGTCTACCAAGTTTGTGCAAATAAAAGCCCTTGGGTTAAATCGGCCCTGCAACGTTGGGGGGGGGGGGGGTTGGGGTTGGGGGGCCTATATACAGGTGAGCGACCTCAGGGCCATCATGGCCCTCTTGTTATATTTTCAGGAACAAAATGGAAGTTTAGAATGTAGGCTGGGAGAATATGACACTGACCGTGTGAAGAATTTACATGAAATTACCGTCATGAAGTCACAAATACAGGGCACAGAAGAGGTAAAGTTGTTTGAAATTGTTGCTATCTGATAATCTCCCTTTGTTGAATTATCAATATTTAAAATTGACAAGTCATCTCCCTTTGTGCACATTTTTTTAACTTGCTACTTGTCACCGGAGAATTCAAATAAACATTAACAGAAAGTTGCTTTGACATATAATAGGGATACCTGATTTGAACATCTTTTGCCTGTATTACTATAATGGTCTTTTATGTTTGTTTTTTTTCTCAACCTTAAATCTGCTCACAACATTAATTTGATTCTACCCATGGTCTGTGCTGTTTGCTATTAAGTCGACACTTGAATCAAAATTTTCCCTGAAATGATCAATGGTTTTGTCCAGATTGAAAAGTGGACAAGGATAAAAAAATTAAATATTTGTGGAATGACAATTTTGTGGTACAGTACATAGAATTCATCAACACATTACATACACTTACTAAAGTACCAAACTTGTTGTCAAATGTTTGCTTATTAGAAACATACATAAATTTGAATGTCAGATTTTGTGTATTGATGTTACAGTTATTGGAGAAAGAACGTGAAATGGTACACAGTTTAAGAGAGCAGTTGATCCAGTTTGAGCCAAAATTTCGAGCTGTCACTGAGGATATGGAAAGTATGTATATTCTGACCTTAGACAATATCTAATATCTTTATGTACTCATGAAATACTCAATGTCCTGTGTGGCTGAACGGTTAAATTGCTGGCTTTCAGCTACTTATCATCATTGCAAAAAGAGTGAATTTTCAGGACTTTTTACAGGACAATGCGTTCTTTCATGTGAGAAAGCTATTCAGCTAGCTTATGGAATGCCAATTGTTCTACTTGAGTTCAATTTTGTGTCTGAAATAATGCACAGAGTGCAATTTGAGGTGTGTTTCCACCAATCAGGACATTTTAACCCAATCACCAAGGGTCAAAATAAGGTTCTATTCCCAAGCCAAAATAACATCCTTTTTTTTTACAAATTGAAAACAAAATTCCCACAGCAGCCCAAAATATCAGTTTCAATTTCTTAAAAAATTTAAGCTATTTTGACTTCTTTCTTAATGGAAGTAAAAAGTTATATGGTTATACACTTGTTAAAAAGAATTTAAGAAAAAAAAGCAACAATAACAACCAATTAAGTATTAGATAGTTTTTCAATTTTTTAAAATTTCTCAAATTTCCCAAAATGTGGAGACAATGTTCATAATTTATAGCAGGGGTGTTCCAAAATAGCTTGTAAAGGCCCTGCAAATACAGCTGGTAAGTCGCCAGATTACCTATACTGTGATGTAAAATGCAACAAATCCAAACAACTTATTTAGATACAATTACCGGTAATGCTAATAACCAAGCAAGGAAAGGACGTAATACAATTTTTATAGGCTTTTTGTTTGGCACACATCTTATTGGGGATCAAATTAATGATGTTCTATGACAAAGCAGACACTTCTTGTAGGGTTGTTTATTATTGATGAGTCATCATTAAAGACTTTATGTAAATTTTCACTGTATATTTGACATATAGATGCTGTTGGAGAGTCCAGAGATCTGAGATTGTTACTGTCACAAGCTGATAAACAGTTACGGGAATATAAAGAAAAAGTTAAACAGCAGGAGTTGGAGAAGAATGCCTGTATAGAAGAGATAGAATCAAAGGTGAGGTTTCATTTATATAGGCCTCTTGTCATCAGTTAGGTTTGCTCAGGTGTCTTGTTGAAGAAGGGCAGTATTTTTGTATGATAAAGTATTTAGCTTACTACAGTGAATTTCACCTTATTTAACATTATTCTATTCTGTTTTCTTGCAGAATTCATAATTATGTGTTATTAAACAGAGACATTCTATGCTGCATATCTTTCGAGAATCAACCATAAGATACCATTGGATTTTTGAACCAATATAATTTTGTTGTCGATATAAATTTTGTTAAATAAATTTCATGCCCTTTAGTATAGTTTTATTGAAACAGTAAATGGATTTTTGATGAATAAATACTGCAGTTGTTTCAATGGACTTTCTTTGCTAGTTGGTAGGAATAAAATAAAAGGATATTGTGATGGTAAATAGTTGTATTTTATTATATTATTATAGTATAGAGTTATTGAGGTAACCATGGAGACAATGGTAAAGGCCCAGGAGAAGATACAAGAAGAAAAGGACATGCTAGAGGTTTGAATACACATTTATGTTTAAAGGGACTCGACTGAGGTTTTTTAAGTGACTGGATTGGAAATAATTGTGCGAGATTTGTGTACCTTTTTATGAAAATCTAGACCATTAATTTGTATGGATGTTTTCAGATCATTCTTTCATCCATTTCATTTTTCCATACTAATTATTATACCCCCACCACAAAATGTGTGAGGGGCTATAATGGATTCGCTTTGTCGCGTCGGTTGGTTGGTCCGTCCGTCTCCATTTTCGTGTCTGCTCTATAACTCCTATACCACTTGAAGGATTTTCTTCAAACTTGGCTCAAATGTTCACCTCAGCAAGGGGATGTGCAGAACCCATGTTGCCAATGTGTCAGCTCAAGGTCAAGGTCACAATTGAAGGTCAAATATCAAACAAAATCATATATTAGACAGTATGTCGTGTCCGCTCTGTAGGTCCTACAATAATTGAAAGATTTTCTTCAAACTTGGCTTAAATGTTCACCTCAACAAGGGGATGTGCAGAACCCATGTTGCCCATGTGTCATTTTAAGGTCAAGGTCACAATTGAAGGTCAAATATCAAACAATCAAATATTACACAATATGTCGTGTCCGCTCTGCAAGTCCTACACTAATTGAAAGATTTTCTTCAAACTTGGCTCAAATGTTCATTTCAACAAGGGGATGTGCAGAACCCATGTTGCCCATGTGTCAGCTCAAGGTCAAGGTCACAATTGAAGGTCAAATATCAAACAATCAAATATTACACAGTATGTCGTGCCCGCTTTGTAAGTTCTACACTTATTGAAAGATTTTCTTCAAACTTGGCTCAAATGTTCACCTCAACAAGGTTATATGCAGAACCCATGTCACTCTTTTGCCGGCTTAAGGTCAAGGTCACACTTGAAGGTAAAAAATTGACTTAGAAAATGTTCTTAAATTTTAACATATATCTGAATATTTCTGAATCTAGGAAAGGTATTTGCTTGAAACTTATAATATATATGAAGTGTCACAATTAAGATATGCTGGTCAAGTTTCATAGCTCTGTATTGCATTTTAACAAAGTTATGCCCCTTTTTATTCTTAAAATTTACATACAATCACATATTGGACAATATGTCATGTCCGCTCTATAAATCCTATACTAATGGAAGAATTTTCTTCAAACTTTACTCAAATGTTCACCTAAACATGGTTATGTGCAGAATCCATGTCACCTTTGTGCAGGCTAAAGGTCAAGGTCACACTTGAAGGTCAAAAATTGATTTAGAAAATGTTCTTGAATATTCTGAAACTAGCACAGTTATTTGCTTGAAACTTAAAAGATATATGAGGTGTCACAATTACGATATGCAGGTCAAGTTTCATAACTCTGTATTGCATTTTGACAAAGTTATGCCCCTTTTTAAGTCTTTAAATTTACATACAATCAACACTAGACAATATGTTGTGTCCCCTCTATAAATTCTATACTAATGGAAGGATTTTCTTCAAACTTTACTCAAATGTTCACTTCAATTGGGCGATGTGCAGAACCCATCTTACCCTTGTGCCAGCTTAAGGTCAAGGCCACACTTGAAGGTCAAAAATTGACTTATAAAAAGTTTAGTATATTCGGAAAATGAAAGGTTATTTGTAACTGTTTCGCACATGATTTGATAAAAGATAATTTTACTATTACCTGTACAATTAGTCTTTTTTTCACCAGAGCTAATTTCTTTTTATGTATTTGTGCCACTTAAGTTATTCCCTTAACCACCTTTCCAAGTCGTCTTCTGTCAAGGACATTGGTGGGGGTATGAATCGCATTCAGCGATAGTTTTAGTTTTTATTTCGATATTGATTCCAGAAATTAAATTGCACAGAACAATTGATATCCAATTAAATTCTGAGTATATTTATTTATTATCCATTGCAGAGTTTTCCATTTTAAGTTCTTCAATTGATTAATGTAAGAATTTCAAATTCATGTTTTTAGGCATTTTGACCTTCTGTGAGCTTCTTTAATATTGTTATTATACACCATACATGTGAACTTTCCCACTTTAATAGGGAGACTCCCACTTTCTGAAGCCATATTTTCAAAGATTTATCTTAAAATAAGAGGTATTTTCAAAAATTAAAGAAATCTCCCTATTTCTAATGTCAGAATTTCCTTCTTTAATGTAAATTCTAAAATTTCCCTCTTTTTGAAGAAAAATCTCCCACTTGATCATCAAAAAAAGTTCACATGTATGATACACAAGTTTGTTGGTGACTCTAATTTGCAGCATTATCATTTAGGTAATAATCATAATCGTTTAATGTATGTTTTGAAATGAAAAACGTTACATGAACAATGAAAACAAGCAAAGAGAAATTACTCTATTGTAAGACTACAAAAATCTCACAAGAGTTGCATATATTTTCCCCTACAGTAATTCATAGGCTCAATTTTAGTCCTTACCAGTTTTTACTTCTCATTGATTCATCATCAAATGCCCATGCACAGTAAGATAGGGCTGTCATTAAAAGAAAACTTTGTATGGATATATCAAGAGCTGTATCGAGGTGATATCGATAATTATAATGGAATTCAATAGCTTGTACATTTGAATTTGTATAACAAATTGTTAACTTGGTGTATGCACACCGCAAACACAGAATACTAAAAGAAAGACCTCTCAAAATTAAATCCAGTGTTCAAACTAGGCAAGAAAAAGGAAGAAAAGTGACTTTTTCCCTTAAAACAAAGTACATTTGTAGATTGATATTTTTACATCACATGAAGAAATTGGATCTGAATTTTGTTGATACTCTTAATTGTTGATTATCCATGATATATTAATAACTGTATTTTGAATGACAGCCTTACAATAAGAATTGAGATTTTAAAAGACTGAAATAATTTATGAAGGTTAGAATCAGAAGCTTAAATATATTTATATTTTTCAGTGTTATCTGGAAGTTGAAAAAGAATCAAAAGAGTTTCATGAAGATTTAGCCCTCCAGTTTGAAGCGAAAAATATTGAACAAGACAAAAAGATCAAGGAATTAGAGCATCAGATTCAGGTACATAAAAACAAGGGACTGTGTCAGATCCTTACTGTAAATGTAATTCTTAGATACAATTTTGAATAACTTAATGGAAGCATTTAATATTATAATTTGATTTGGTGTTCACAAGATCCTAGATACTTTGCTAGTGAACCTTTACCAAGTTTGGTTAATATTACCTTGGAGATCAGTTGGCCTGCCCCATGGTTCCTTTATCATATGAGATATATAGGAAAAAAAACTTTAAAAATCTTCTTGCTGCAAAAGTATTAACGCATAGAGCAATGATATTTGATGTGTGAAGTTCAATTGAGTATGGTAAAGTGTCAATATTGGCCCCACCCTGATGTCTCTTTGTACCAGGTTTGTGGCTTCTAGATCAATGTCTCACTGAGTGGTCAAACATGCCTTTTAGATGATAATAGGAGGTCACTGTTGAAGATCCATAAGTCAGCATGGATTTTGATTGAGTTAGGCCCTTTTTGAACCAAAACTTATAACTATGCACGCTCTCTTGTTATGGCATTACTCAAACAACACAGTTTATTACCCTTCCATATTTTTTCCGCCTTTTTGATTGAATATTGATCACCCGAAAGAAATTGATATTACCGATTCAGACGGGTAATATACACATTAAATTTCCCCGATGGGTACCCCACGTTGTAAACAACATGCGCTGTGGGATGTGCGTACGGTTTGATTTTACGCGATATAAATTCCAATTTACAAGCACTTTTAAACTGTCAAACGATAAATATTTACATAAATAGAGTAATGATACATATTTTGTCAGTATAGGAAACAAATATGATCCTGTGAAAGCTTGATATTAATTTCAAAAAAGTGCGTTCAACAGACCTCCTTTTCTCTTGTTTACATCTGTTATGTTCGAAAGATAATACGTCATGTATTTATGTGACGTCATGTTATGGTGAAGGGGTATCCTAAAGGGAATCTTATTTCAAAGTTTCATTTGAAGTAGCAATGAATTATTTTTAAATCGTCTTAACTCGGCACGGGAAGGGTAATGAAATTATTATTTTGGTTTTGGAGTGACATATGTGGATATATTGCCTGCCAAGATAAAATATCACCCTCGCCTAACGGCTCGGGTGATATAAAATCTTGACAGGTAATGTATCCACATATATATCACTCCAAAACCAAAAAAACATATGATATTTGCTTAGGAATGCAATTAGCTGGAATGCACACAGTTATTTGTCTTGCTATGTGATGGTTTTTGCTTGCTTACAGAGTGCAGAACACATCATCATGGAGGAGAAGGATTTAAGAGAATCACTGGTTAACCAACTCAGTTATGAGGGCAAGGAAAAAGTATGCAATATTTATACTTATCTGTGCTTGCTATTCTTGTTTTATATATGTGTATGTGACATTAGAGTGGTTATAAAAACAGTAGAACTTCTATGTGCTGAACTTTTGATAAGTAAATTTTCTGGCTTTGTTGAAGTAAAATGAAAGTCCTGGTATATCTTCCTATATATTCTAAATAATTTTTTACAGGAGGCCTTTTTCAAAGGCAAATAGGTCATTATGTCAAAGTTTTTATGAGACCTATTTACGAGGGGTTATCCAAAAATTCGTGGACTTTTTAAATATCTCTTGAACGTCAACGTGTAATGTAATGAAATTTTATCAGCATGCATTTTAGAATATTATCAACACATTTTGAAAGGAACAGGTAATTGTGCCAATAAATAATGATTTCATATTGCTTTTAAATAAGCACATACACGGCACCTGGCGCACGGTAGAAAAAATCACAGTAAGTCATCGCATATTTCTTGCTAAAAGACTAAGAATTTAACGTAGAAAACCCGCTGAACATCGCATGTTTCTTCCATGATGTCATTTAAGTAATTCTTTAAAATAATGGACGTCATTTCCGTTTATTTTTGTTGATATGGCTAGAAACAACAGATGCATTTATTGTTTACTACGGAAAAATGACAGACAGGCGGTAATTAGAAAATCGCGCGATTATAAAACGATAATAAATTTTTGTTGTAATTTGGGAATGTCATCTACAAAAACATTTGATAAAAATCAGCAGACGAACAGAGAAAAGAAAATTTCATGATCATTAGTGTTAAAGTGACATAAGAAATTTTGTGATGGACATAACTTTGAGAAGCAGTAACCGTCATTGACTGCGTAACGTTGAAGAACAAGTTGTACGTTAATATGATGACGTTGACGTCTATAACTTTTTGGAGTGCGCCGCTGTCGCCGACATGTGTTTATGTAAAATTAAATATTGTTTTAATGTAAGATACTCACATGAATTTTTCTGTGTTCATTTGTTATTTATTTTTCTAAGCAGTGTCAGAATTTCAAATTTATATCTCAAATATATTTTACGCAAGAAAGAAAGTCCACGAATTTTTGGATAACCCCTCGTATAATAAAGTACAGATACCAGATATAAATAAGTCGAAGGCCTTTGGCTATTTTGAAAACTTAAGTACCTTAAACATAAATTTACTGAAGTTCGACTGTAGTTGCTATGTTTATTTGGTGGTTTGATGCACAAAAAAATTAAGTTTTTGTTAAGAGCCAGTTAACATAGTTTCAGTCATTGTACTGATTGACTATGAAATTTTGTTGATACTGTACCATTAATTTTCCCCATCTTTCTGTAACCACAGACTTCTCTTAATATACATGTATCACTTGAAATTTAAAATTGGTGGATAAATAATACTGTCATGGAAAATGTGAAGTCTAGAGTACTCATTATTTGCAAATACTAGGTCTGTTGTACTTATAGCTTTCTTGAAATAGGTTAGTAAGTATGCAGATGTATCAATTGTACTTCTAGAGAAATAAGAATAAGTACAATGCTTTCAATTTTTTCTTGGATTATAATTTGTTTTATAATTGAGCTGCGCCATGACACAACCAACATATTGGGTTTGCAACCAGCATGATTCCAGACCAGCCTGCGCATCCGTCCAGTCTGATCAGGATCCATGCTGTTTGCTATCAGTTTCTCTACTTGTTATAGGGTTTGCAAGCAAACAGCATGGATCCTGATCAGACTGTGCGAACGCGCAGGCTGGTCGGGATCCATGCTGGTTGAAAACGCACTATGTTGGTTTTGTAGTGAAGCAGCTCAATTATTATTATATTACCATAGTTGAAATTAGGAATGGAGAAAGATGTTTGGGTTTTTTTTCCAGCACTTGAATTTTGTATTTAGAGATTTTTGGCTATTTTGGTTTTGTAAATTAATTGTATATTTTGGTTTCTTGTTGACCTTTGTGAAATTTACTCCTAAAACATCATTGATTTTACTATTCACAAATGCAAAATAAACTGTTGTAAAAAGTTTGATGGTCTATCAAAATAAAGTATGGCCTTCTGAAGAGCTCTTTTTAACAATATCATTTCTTCCTAAGATTCTTTATGAAATGCAACCCAACTACAGTATAACCTCGGAAGAGCAACACCCTTTGGGAGACATTTTTTTTTCTCAACAAAGGTTATATATAGTGGAAATGATTAATTTTTGGAAATAAATAAAATTGTTGTTGTAAGGAGGTGTTGCTGTACAGAGGTAAAATATAAAGGAAATCTTTTAGTCATTAAGTGAAAAACTGGGATAAAACTGCTTTTCAAGAAAAGTCATAAGCGCAATTTTAAGACTTGAGTTATGACTATTCCTGTGGGTGCCTCAGAGTGCTCTCAAGGTGTCTTAAGTCATAAGTACAAAAACAAGTGCTGAAACAAACATGGCAGCTCTTTTTTGTTTGATATAGAATTATGTATGTAAAATGTGGAGGGCATAAGTGAAGAAAAAGTTACTAGTAGATTCACCTGTTATATTTAATAATTTTTGTCATTTTACATATATGTTTGACTTCTTATAGGATCGTGAAATGTTGCATCAGTTAGATGAGAATAAACTACTCATGATGGAATACAATTCGTTGAAGAACATGCTTGAGGCCCATGAAGATTCTGCAGATAAATTGAGAAAGGCTCTGGAAGAAAAAGACGCGTGTATAGTGAATCATGAGAAAAATATAAAGGCATTGGAGGTACTATTTGTTTAAATAGACAAGACTCATCCTTTGTTATGCCCCCACAATGGGAGCATATAGCGTTGCACTTGTCCGTCCGTCCGTCAGTCCGTCCGCACATCCCGAAATCTTGTGAACGCAACTCCTCTTAAACTGGATAGCAGATTTTGCTTAAACTTGCCGGGATGAACAACCTTAATGTGTAGATGGTAGTTAAGGAAGGAATTTTTGCTGCGACCAAATTTAACAGAATTATGGCCCTTTGTTAATTTTTTCACTATATACTATGTAGAAATTTTGTGAACGCAACTCCTCTTAAACCGGATCGCAGATTTTGCTTAAACTTACAGGGATGAACAACCTTAAGGTGTTGATGGTAGTAAAGGAAGGAATTTTCGCTGCGACCAAATTTTACAGAATTACGGCCCTTCGTTGATTTTTTCACTATGTACTATGTAGAAATTTGTGAATGCAACATCTCTTAAACCGGATGGCAGATTTTGCTTAAACTTACAGGGATGAACAACCTTAAGGTGTAGATGGTTGTAAAGGAAGGAATTTTTGCTGCGACCAAATTTAACAGAATTATGGCCCTTTGTTGATTTTTAGTTTTCAACTTGTGGCACATGTAGTCCAAATAATATTTGACCTAGAGTCATAAGATTGACAGAACAGTGGCATGTGGGGGCATCCGTGTCCTATGGACACATTTCTAGTTGATACTATTTTGATTTTAAGTTTTAAGTAAATTAGGGCTGTAACCTAAGGTCGTCTGTTCTGTACAAAATTTATTGTAATTTTTTTATTATTATCTAAGAAGTTTATATTATCCTAAGGTTAAAGGGGCTAAAAAGAAGGTTTGTAAATGACAATACTGGAACTACTTTTTGGAGAGTAATGTAAACATTTGTTGTAAGATAAGACCAGGAACTTCTATGTAAAATTTCACATCTTTTGCTCAATCGTTCTACAAGAATTATCATTTGAATCGTGCAAAGTGACACAAAAATGAAAAATATTTCCTGTAAATAAGGGCCACTATTTACCAAACCTTCATTGATTGAATAGAACATGGTAACCTCCAGATAAAGACAACTTGTCTTTTAAAGCCATTTTCAGTCTGTCCCTTGGATGGCCTTTATTCACAGGTTTTACTGTATATGAATTTCAGGACAAAGTTCTTCACTACTATAAGACTATGGAAGATCAAAATGATAAAATATCGGAATTAAAGGAAAACTTGCAGAATGTTGAAGAACAGATAGTATTTTACATGGAGAAAGAAACATCTACCAATGAGAAGATAGAAAACTTGGAAGAACAAATCAAAGCAAAAGAGGAGGAGATTGAAACAGAGAGGAAAAATCATACATTTAAGGTAATATTTAACCCTTTCACTGCCATAGGGACGGCTTAATGCCGTCCCTGTTATTTTCGGCGGATTTGCCATATGGACGGCTTTAGCCGTTTCTATAATAATAGTAGTAATAATAATAAATCAATTATAATAATAATAAATATAAAGAAAATTATACCATCAACAATAATTATTATTATACTCACAGATTTGGAAACATATATAATTATTATAATACTCATAACAAATAATAATAATTATATTAATTAATAATATAGTAATTTCTTAGAAAACCCTCTGGCAAATAGGTAATCAATAAAACAATAACCCTCTGGCAGCGAAAGGTTTAAGTAAGGCCCTTTTTGAACTCAGAAAGTTCTATATTATCTAGGATCAAGTACTGAGAATAGTCCAGCACACTGTCCTCCTGATAGCTCATGTTCATTTTTGCTTTAATGGCAGTTTTTGCGAATAAGCCTATTTATAAACCTGTGATTTATTTTTTTTTCTATGTATGTAAGAAACCAAAACAATGTATAAAGTTTACTCTTAAATGCTCTTAATTTCTATACGAGATTTTTTTCACATTCTCTTTGCAATATTTGACATAAATATATGGTTTTATTCAAACATTCACTCAGAAATCTTTGACATAGACATATGGTATTATGTTAACAAACATTAGGCAATCTTTGGCATAAACATATGGTTCTATTTTAACATTCACTCAGAAATCTTTGACATATATGGCATTATTTTAACATTTACTCGGAAATCTTTGACATAAACATATGGTTGTATTTGAACATACACTTGGCAATCTTTAATATGATATTTTTTATCTATCTACAGGTAGAGATGTTGAACGAGGATTTAAAATCGTACCAGGAGAACATTGAAGAACTACAACTCGAGTACGAGCGTAGTCAACAGCAATTAAACCTCAGTGAAACCAACGTGAAAAACCTGGAAACTAAAATAAACACACTAACTGAAACGGTGGGTGCATAAATACATTTTGAATATGTTTTTATAGCTATATTTAATTGTCTTCATCTGGTTAACGTCCTGAAGAAAGCAGTTTTTTTCTCCAGAATTATCAATTTTCAAAAGGGTAATGCATACCTGTAAATAGTAAGTTTTTAAGCTGCATGTCTCCAGATGAGCCAAAATATTTCAAGAAATTCAATCTTTAAAAAAAATGTATTAAGATCTTAAGAAAAGTAAAAAGATTCAATATTTAATTAATTATTAACATAAAATGTGTGATTAATGACTGATTTTTCAGTATAAATCACTATAATACTAATGCAGTAAGAGGTATTTATGTATATTTTGACCTCTTTTTGGTAATTTACGTGGATTGCAAAGTGCCGTTTGCAATGTGTAAATTTATTTCTTTGTTCACTTCACAATATTTTACTTTTTAATACATTTTCAAAATTTTCATGAAAATTAGCATGAATCTGGAGGCATGCTGCTTTAAATAAAGAATTTAACTTGTTTGACATAGTCATGTGTTCCTCCCATATGAGATTCTGTATTTATTTTCAAAAGGTCTATTTATGAATCCCTTAAATGTTTGCAGGTTTCCAAAAACAATTCATTGGATTAATTAACAAAAGTGTTAATTTGCTATTCTTTTTACATTAGAATACCAAGTATAGGTATAGGTATGGAAATTTTGAGAGTATTAAATCATAGTGTAACAAAAATATTTTGTTTGTGAAAAAATCTTTCCTGTTGATTACATTTTTTGGAGAGAATCTTTAAAATACTGAGAGATATTTTGTATGTTATGTAGTTCACATGTTACTTGTTTTTTTTTATAGCTGAAGTCAAAAGAAGAAGCAACTGAAAAGTTGAGTAGCAAGTCAATGGAACTTGAAGAATTAACACAACAGCTCAGTCTACTAGAAAGTGCTAGACAACAAAGAACCATTGAGAACATTGAAATATCCAATGAAAACAAAGGACTTAAGGTGAGATCGTAATTTCAAAGCATTTTGTATTTGTGTTACAACAGTTCATTTTCTCGTTTGGTAAGAGCCTCATTTGCTAAGTGATTTAAGATTGTAACCTCATTGATTCATAGAATGATGTAGACTTTCACTTTCATAATTCTGGAATAAGTTTTCCTTCTTACACTTTAATTTTTAAGTCTCATAAAAAAATAAAATGTAATCAAACACTGTTTTATTTACAGGTTAAAATTGAGGAAATAGAAAAACAGAACAATGCAACATGTACAGAATTGGAATTCTTGAAAACCGAGTACCAGTCTATGAAAGAAAAGTAAGCTTATTTTGTCACCATGATAATATATGTATACACATATAATGAATGGCTCAAACATTTTAGATTTGTAAAGGAAAAATGCATGTTGTGGGGTAAAAACTGGACTTTGCAAAGGATTTAGTTTATTTGAATTTATTTTAGTTTGTGTTGGAAGCTATAAGCTTATTGAAACACGCTTCAAACCATTCCTGGAACCAACCAGTACTAAGCAATGGGTGTAAAGTTTCTTGCTCAAGGAAACAACGGCTTGCCCATGACAGGGTTTGAACCCATGTGGTCAGCAATCCTTGGATTACTAGTCTGATGTGTTAACCACTCAGCCATGCCGTCACTCTGCACATGCAAGGCCATGGGGCTGCAGACTTCCGTGACTCATTTGTCAGAGATTTATAACCGCCTCCGTGGTCGAGGGGTTAGAGTCGATGACTTCTAATCCAGTTACCTCTCTGGCGTGGGTTCGATCCCCGGGAGATGCTTTGGTAGTTTAGCGCGGAGGAAGGTAGTCTAGTACTGGTGTAACTCTCCAGGAACGATGGTTAGGAAACTACCCGCCTATATGACTGAAATACTGTTGGAAAAAGGCGTAAAATGAAACAAACAAACAAACAACT